CTCTTTGGCTCGCTGTTCACAACTCCTAGATTATACCCAACTTGTGATGAAGGACCGTGAAGACACATTTGTTTCGTTTGTTTTCGGCATTTTGCACTTCCGCACACACCCCTCTGGTGTGAAAACAGCAACTTTTTTTGTTTCTGTAAAACAAAAACAGACTATTGAATGTGCTGTTGTAAAGCTTTTGGAACAAGTTGCTAATGCAGAACATCAAATCCATTTTAACTGCAGTAAAAGCGTGTTCCCTGGTGCACCGGTGGTTATTTTATCGTCAGTGTGTTGGCTTTCAACCCTGATACACCCACAGAGCATTCCTCAAACACAACAGGAGGATACATAGTGTAGGGCCACACGTTGAAGGTAATCCCGGTGTTTCCCATAAGCTGTCCAATGTGATTCTTGAGTTTGTAGAGATTTAAATTCCAGTGCTAGGAGTAAATACTAGTCTGTTTGTAGTTTCATTGTGATTTTGAAGTAATTGGTCCAACAAGTAGATAAAGTGAAGTGTACACAGTGCAGAGGTTGATGGTTTTAGACATCTGTGTCCCTTTAAAACCCAAAAGCTTTGTGCCATTGTTGGAACATAATGTACAGGTGGGCTGCTGCCTGAAACGATGTTTTACTAGAATGGGATTTCTGAGATTGCTGTGCGTTCTCTTACAGTTGGAGATTTACCTTTTACCTTATTGCTTTCTTTGCTGGCCTGGCAGTCCTTGTTGACGTGAGTACTGTGTCCGAATTCGGTTGGCACTCATAGTGTTTGTTACAATCAGATCACTACATTTGTCATTTTGTGGAATATAACCATGAACTAGTCATAACTGGAAATGTATCTATCGATCTAGTGACTTTATTCTTCTTCGGAAGAATAAAAGAGGATCGTTTTGCTACATGTTACACATGCTTAAGTGCAGAAAAGTAAAACTGTAGTGTTTTCATTGTTTTCCACTTTGTTCAGTGTTTATGCATGACAGTGCTTGTGGTATTGTGCTGGACACTTAAGCCCTCATTAATAATGAGTATTCATCTCACCTCAGAAACCATGGCTCTATGATATGAGGACGATGTGGGATGACTTCCCGAAAATGGTATGTACTATAATCTGTATTATTGCTCCTTCAGGTTTAAATATTTTAAGGTTATTTGAAATTTATCTTCCGTGAAATGACGTGCAGAAACGGCCTTACTTCTCTTAACTTCTGCCACTTCAATCATTGGTTTATCGAATTATTTAACTAAATAATGTCAAGAATTATTAGCGTTGCGTTATTCTAACTGCTTTTTCTTTCTCCTTTCTTCCAGCCACTGTTGCCTTCGCAGTACTGGTACTACATGATCGAATTAGGCTTCTATATCTCGCTGCTTGTTAGCGTAGCATCGGATGTCAAACGTAAGGTAAGTGATACAGAGCTGTCTTCAAAAAACGTTGTTAGCTTTGTGCTGTAAACCCCTCAGAAACCTTCCATCAAGATCACTGAGTGCGCAGAATAAAGAGAATGATCTGTTGTGTATTTTGAGGTTTGGGTATTGATTTCCTGCTAAAACTTCCTGCCTTTATGCGCTGTATCGACTGGAGCTGTCAGCATTCAGAATGCCACTAAGATAATGTTCAGTTCAAAGTCAGAGTGAGAGGGCAACGAGCCACACTGTCTGTCCAGGTTGGATTGTTGCATCTCGAGGTGTCCTGTGAGTTAATGTGTGACCGAAGGCCTGTAGGGGAATCTCACTGCGGAGAGACAGACTGACCGTGTTGCCCACAGGTCAAAACGTGGCAGACCTTCAAGCCCATCAGCAAATTCGCGAGGCCTCGGTGCCAGCTCTTGTTTTATAACTCCGACTCACAAATACAAGGAACTAAAATCTTTTAAACCAAAACAAGTTTCTCCTCAACAGATCTTCTATGTTGAAATCAGCTTCAAATGTGAGGATTTGTTTTGTAACTTACTGAGTTCCTTTTTTTCTTTCTTTTTTTTTTATAGCCGTAAAGTCGTGTAATCTGCTATGTGCGGAGAGTTAATGATTTGTAAAACCGACATCAACCAGACACACGCTGTCGATTAGTGACCGATCTTTACAGCCCGATCAATAAGTGACCAAAACATTTTGGATTTTGTTTTTACACCGTCTCTCTCTCTGGCTCTTGTTTTTTCTTCTCTGCAGGATTTCAAAGAGCAGATAATTCACCACATAGCCACCATTGTCCTCATCAGTTTCTCCTGGCTGGTCAACTACATCCGGGGAGGGACTTTGGTCATGTTGGTGCATGATGCCTCCGACTATCTAATGGAGGTATGAAAACATGCTAAAATGGCAGAAAAAGGGGCATTTCACTCATATTTTACTCATTTTATTTCAAACATATCAGTCCCATTTCATTTAGATTGTTTGTTAAACGCATGAACTACCCACCATCTCTCTTCTGGTTGCAGTTAGCTTTTGAGTAAAGAACGTGTATTTATACACATGGCCAGTTTTTTCATATAAACAGATCATTTAATCACAATCGTACAGCAGTATACATCATTAAACACGTGCTGCCCTCCCACCTGTCCTCATAACATTTAGCACAGCTGAATAGCTTAATGATAGTGTTAAGGTTAGAGCACTGTACACCTCACTCAGTTCCCTGTCTGCCCTCTAGAGGAGACTAAATAAAAAAGGTTGCGCTCTGATCTTTCTGTCTTTCATTCCAGTCAGCCAAAATGTTCAACTACGCAGGCTGGAGGAAAACCTGCAACTTCATCTTCACCCTGTTCGCTGCAGTTTTCATCGTCACCCGCCTCGTAATCCTCCCATTCTGGTAAAAACCATGTTGCGTCAGATTTACTGTAACAGCAATGAGTCACTATTACTGTGTGTGACTAGGACAATTTGTGAATTTGTTAGCAGCCGTTCTTTACAAGGCTTTATCAAAAAAGTAAATGGAAATGCCAGAAATATTAAAAAAAAAAGGTTTACATATCTCTAAAAGACTTTTATGCTGGGCTCAGGTGGAGAAGCTGATCATTTTTATTCCTCTTATTGTCAACAAAACCCATGAAGAGTTTTTACATTTCGTCCAAAAACGAGCCAGACTTTTGCACTGGTTAACATGTATCTTCATTATTATTAACATGAGCACTGTTTAAGTCAATCCCACATACACTGGTCCATCAGATCGCTATTAATCCGTGACAACAAATGCACTATTCACAGCTCTATGAGTAAAAACTACAGTGGCCAGCTGTATTAAGAAGTTAGAGGCTAACTTCTTTATGCTTTAAAAGAATTAAACTACATTCTTGTGAATCAACTGGGCTCGAGGCTGTGTGCCACAGACATGTAGGAAAGTCTGTAAGTATTAAGAATTGTTTGTTTAATCTTTTTCATGGGATTTGTTAACAGTTAGAAAAATTTAGAATAATCCAAGTGGGGTTGTTCCTATCACAACGTGACACTAACAGCAGTTCAAAAGAGTCAAATTAATTCAGTAAGAAAACAAAAATGCCATCATAGGTGGGAAGCTGCAGTAGAAATGCCACGATGTGAGTTACTTGTGCTCAATAGTGATATGATGCAATATTTCCTCTTGAATATATATTAGCAGGTAGTTGCTGGAAATTTGCTCTTCATTTGATAAAAACATATTTTAGAAGAAAAAAAATATTTTTTTAGCTTAATTTTGCTTAAAACTTGAGCAACAATATAATGGAAATGTAACAACAGACACATTGTGTAGAGTTCTGGCCTGTCTCAATGGGCTTTTGATGGTGACCGTAGGAGGCTCTGACTGAACTCTTTATTCTGCCTTTGTCCTCTCGTCCAGGATTATATATTCGACGTGCATTTACCCCCTGACCCTCTACCCACCCTTCCCCGGCTTCTACTTCTTCAACGGGCTAATGTTGGTGCTGCAGACTCTGCACATCTTCTGGGCCGTGCTCATCTTGCGCATGGTTGTCAAATTCCTGCCAGGCAACGTATGAACCCGCACTTTCAGTTTTACCAGTTTACCACCAATTTCACTTCCACCTCGAAACCAGCAGCTGGATAAATGTTATGTCTTTTTGTGTTTTTATTTTAACCTGACAGGACATTGTTGAGGATGAGCGGAGCGACAAAGAGGAGACCGAGTCAGATGAGGACGGCGATGACCATGAGCAGAGGGAAAAGTCTAAAAACGGCCACGTGCAGAACGGCCATACTCCCCTCAACAACAACCACAATAAGATGGACTGATTGGACAGTGAGAGCTGGAGATGAGGCGATGGGCACGCATATGTGGCCCTGACCTGAGAGCCAAAGAATGGGAGCGTGGCATCTTGAAAAAGGGGCAGCAGGCAGCACACAGAAATATACACACTTTATCTAGAACTTCCTTTCTGAATGTGGATCATTTCACAGAAGAGAGGAAGACTGCAATGAACCACAATGATCTGCTTAGTGAGCTAAGCAGCAGAGTGGTTTTCTTTCACACCTTCTCTTTTCTCTTCCCACTTAGTCTGTCATGCTATTTGCCAAGGTTTTCTGCTGTTGACCAAGTTGCCACATGCCGAATCTGCCTGCTTGTAGCTTTGTTTTTGGTACTAGAAGTGTTTTAAAGGGATTCTGTGGTTAGGACAGGCGTTCCTTTCCTGCACAGTTAGTTAAAACACTTCTAAGTGTTACTGCCCTTTAAACCTGACTGATTTTGCTCTAATAACTACACTTACTAAGTGAGTGACATCATGAGCAGCATAAAGCCAGGGAGATAAACTCACTGTTTAACCACAATGGGCACAACCCGGACGCGGCATACGTGTGGTTAAAAACAAGTTTATCTCCAGCCTAAAGGTGAACGAGGTGATGTCTTTCTGTGGACTACAGTTTATTTACTGTAAGTCCAGAGTTTCAATTAATAATGAATTTGTGCACATCAGTTTTTGCAGCTGACATTTTGTCACTTTGGTTCCTGCAAAAGATATATTTGTTTAAATGATGTTTAAAACAAAATAATTTGAGGTAAATGTTTTTTTTAACAGTCTGACAGAGAGAGAGAGAGAGAGAGAGAAGGTGCTACATCTGCTATGTGTGTTGAAATGTGCCTTTTTGTGGAAGGTTGTCTTAAGTTCTACGTCTCTTGGAAAGAAGAACGCACAGATCATTTTAAGTGTTTGTTTTGTTTATGCTCAATATCCTTTTTAGTTGTGATTTTATTTGTTTTCTGTCCAGTTAACGGTTTAAATTTGGGAGCAATTTGTTGAGTGTAACCCAAAACCAATCAGTAACTGTTTATGAATTCTTTATGGGCTGGACGAGTCAATAGCATTTCCATTCAGTGTTGTTTTCATCCATCCAAAGATGCACTTTATGGTTTCTTCTATGGATCAGCATTGACTAAATATCTAGTAAACGAGTTAGTAATAGTGTTTGAGTGCAAACCTGATTTATTGTTTAGTTTAGAGTGGTTTAAGTGTACGATTTAAATTTTGTTACCCAAGATCTTCCTCATTGTCAGTCTTGGTTCATTTTGTAAAAAGGAAAAAGAAACGTTTAATGAAATCTTAAGTAAAGAGGTAAAAATGAAACACCAAAGTATGGTTTACATTTTGTACTACCTTGTAATTTGCAAGTGCCTTCATCATTTCACGTGTTCATTGTAAAGAAAAATAATTTCTGTTCCATTGTCTTTATTTCTGCTGTCTTTGTGCCCCAACACATCCAACAGTCGATGCACTGTAACGCTCTGGGCCTCTAACTTTCCTCAGCTCACGACGACCAATTACCTGCAGCTCCCTCTAAAGAGCTTCGCTTCTAAAGAAAGTGTTTTTATTCTGCGTAATGTGTTGCTGAGATGTAAAATCATAATGACGATGATAAAGATAAGTGTGGTTAACTATTCTGTCTTTTACAGTTTCTTTTTAATTTGCATCTGAAATGACACTTTGACAAGAATAGCAAGGTTTAGTTTTAGATACTAAACATTAAAGGTCTGTTTTTAAAAAAAAACAATTTATTAAGTAATAATATAATTGACAATAATTTGCAATAATCAAAATATACTAGTATACTAAATAAATAGTGTTAATTCCCTTTAAAAACAAAGTAGATGCAGTGTTTGAGGGTCGCAACTGATGATTATTTTCATTATTATATAATTATATATTATTATATATATAATTATAATAATTATAATTATATATATATAATAATTATATATTATAATATTATTATTATAATTTATCTGTTCCTTTAAGCTGTCAGAGAAGAGTGAAAATAATCATCACAGTTTCCCAGAGAGCAGAAAAGTAGCAAAATCCTGATATGATTTAAAAAGCTGAAACCAGAATATGCATTTTTTATTTTTTTTAAAAATATAATTGTTGACTAGCAACAAATTTAGCAACTTCAGACCATCGTGTTAATGGCGAGAAATATGTTTATATTGTATGTATTCCCATACATGCTGCTCAGAGGAGCTTTGGGGTCTCTCCCTTTCCTCTTGTGCAGTCAGCAGGTGTGGCACGTGAGGTTTGACCTTCTCATTCTTTCTTTCTAGATCTCTGGATTAGGTTGTTCCCAAAGTTTAGCCTATATGTAAATAGTCTGTTTAAGCTTGTAAATATGTAAATAGTTTGTTTTAAATTCTCCCTGCCTTTGTAGATTTAAATAACAACAACATTGTATTTTCTTCAAACATGCAACAAGTGTGATTATTTGGCTAAATGAAATAATGTTCAAAGTGTGTGTTCGTATATTTCCTTCGCTGTATACCAATCCAGAGTGAGTCAGTGAAGTGATTTAAGTTACAAAGTTATTTAACTATAGAGAACTTTAATTAGAGACAATGGGTAAGTCTGGGACAGTTGCGGGACACTGAGGACAAAGGTTAATTTCATTGCCTGCTTCTAGGTGTGTAAGAAAAACTGACGGTTTAGAGCCAGTGCTTGGTTGGTCCGCTGAATAAACATGGTGGTTCAACATTGGCAGCCTCTGTAGATTAAAAACATCTCATTCTAAGGTAACAAAGACACAACGATACTTATTTTCAGGTGATTATACACTAATGAAATACATACCTATAAATATTATATTCAATTTCCGATAGATCCTCCTAAATGTTACACACTGGACCTTGAACAATTAATTAATGAACTACTGATTCCTTATCCAGTGCAGCTTTAGCCTGCACGCAGAGAGCATTTGTGCTATATGAGAACAATAAAACAAGAAATGTTTGACAAAAATATCTTTAGAAACTTTATTAACTGGAAATCTTCATCTTGTGGCCTTCATCAGCAATAAAAAAACCTAAATGCTGCAGCAGTATTATGTTGTTTTTAAAAAAAATAGTTTTACTTTAAATATTTATTTTTTGTGCCATTTATGTCTGTAAATTTCCAACTCCTTGTGTTACATGAAAAATATCATGGGATTTGTTGTCCTACTTCCCTTTGACATTTTGAGGACAGTACAATTTTGTGATTCAGAGGGTGTGTAGTATTTTCTTCAGACTAAACAACTAACTGATACAACCATAATTCAGGAACTGAGGAGTGTGCCTCTCAGTGTGATACAGATACTAAAACACACCGCCTCGGACATAATTTGTCACTGTCAAAGTGGAGCAAAACCAGTCTGGCATGAGCACCATCCATCAGTTATTGGTTCCACTGGTGTAGAGTAGACCTGAAGGCACCATGGAGCCATTACAATATCAGATGGCACAGTGTAGTGATGACACACTGAGCAGCACCTGGCTGACACACTTTTTGGGAGGCAGACTTGCCAAAAAAATTATGTCGGATTGAAAGAGTTGGTCTTCATTCAGTCGGAAAGTTTGAGAACGTGTATCAGGAAAAGCTTGTTTTTCACCCATCCTTAAAAGAAAACCGGTTCTTGTTTCCTCCTTCTCCCTCTGCCACTTTCCCCTACAGTATTTTGGCCGCAGCCTAAAAGGCCTCCTTGGCTAATTGCATATGGAGTGGGATCACTTTACCGCCGTGCCCCGCACTTCAGCCTCCACACTGTTCTTGTCACTGGCAGCCTCACTGTAACAATCTCCATTTTAAAGCGGCAGGGTCAATTTCCACCCAGCTCTCGCATCTGGCTCCACAATTTAATTGCTAATGCATCTCCTGTTTCTCCTGCTCCAACGTCTGGTCTTTCCTCTGCACGCCGCCCCCCCACTCCTCCTCCCTCCCTCTCTCCCTCTCTCCCTCCACCCCTTCTGTGTCCAGTCTTACTCCTCCTTAAATCTTTGCCTTTCCTTTCACATTAAGTTTCCCCTCCTTCCTGTGTTCCCTTTTCAGCCTTGTGTAATGAATAAGCTCAGTGTCGCCTAAGGTGCTTGAGTTAATTGTGGTGTGAAGCCGAATTGGTGACAGCGATGAAGGTCCTTCTGACATGAGAACAAAGGCTGTGGGGTGTTTGATTCACTTGTGAACTGTGTAGACCGTTATTCAATTCCTGCTTAAGTATTAATAAAGGCTTTACACGCCAGGGGGAGGTCGCAAGGTGCAAGTGTATGCTTGTGTATGCATGTGTGTGAGTGCAGGAGCTAATCTGTGAGCTGCTCATTTTTCCGGTGATAATGAGAGGAGTGGGACAGTAAAGCCTTTGGTAACTGATGACTGTCTTATGTAACTTGAGTAATAAGGAACCTCACAGGCAACCAAGATGAACATGCTGTGAAAGCTCTTCAAAGGTTTGGATGGGTGTTGGAAAGACTGCAGGAACAAACAGCTGGGTCACTGATGACACTGCAGAATGGTGAGTTTGAATGGTGTGTTGCTGTCAGCTTTTACAGTGATTAAAACTACTTCATGATCCAGCGGTAATGCTAAATTTGAATTTAAATATGTATAACAATGTAAGTGATAACTTCTGCTATCTGTAGGGCAATGTGCTGTGTTCCTCTAAATAGCAACTAGGCATAAACATGAGAAACACTCACTTTTAAATAGCCCAGAACAATAAGTTGGGGTATGTTAACTTGTCCATTATGAAAATAGTAGAGCTGAAAAGTAGTTGATTGGTATAATAGTAAGTTAAAAGAAAGTTATTTAGCATTTACTTTAAACAAATTTGTCCAACTGAAATATCAAACATTCTCTGGTTCCAGCATCTAGAAAATTGAGCATTTGCAATGTTTTTTGTTTTATGTGATAGTCAACAAAATATCTATCTTGTTGCACTAAACAAGGAATCTGAAGACAATAACTTTGCTTTCCAGGATATTGTGATGGTAATTTTACAAACCAAATGATGAATCATTTTACTGAGAACCTAAACTGAAGATTAATCTGAATGAAAAAAGGAATATTTCAGGGGAAACTTGTGTTCTGAAAGTTTTTATTTTGAAAGTTTGTGTCCGATCTTTGTGAAATTAATGTAACGAGACCTTAAGTGTGACTTTTAAAGGGGAACTCCAGTGATTTTACACATCAAAGTCTGTTTACAGCTATTGAGGAGTACTAGTGCACATGAAAAAAGTTATATAAAGCCTTTTGTGGCTCTGGAGGGAGCGGCGTGAAATCTGATAAATGACCTTAGGTGATGTCACTTGAGTCAGCACTGAAGACTACAAGTTAGAAAATAAAAAAAATAAAAAAATCAGGGTGTGGTGGAAAGAAATGACCTTTACAGACCTTTGTGGCCTGATAGCATAACACAGCTGAATCTCCGTCCCAACAGTCCCCGCCTGAGTTGCATTGTGGTTAATGTAGGCACCGGGTTTGTAGAGGAGGAAGAATGAGTGAAATAGAAAATATGAGATTTAGTTATGTTAAATGTTAAATTGGTGGAGTACTGAATGCCAGTATCATGTTTTTAGGGGCATTTTTTTGATAGTTGGAACAATGAAAAATACAAAAAAAAGAAGAAAGAGAGGAGGTGAAACTAAACAAAAGCCCCTGACCAGAATTTAAAATCATGGGCATTGCAGTGTGCATCCATCTCAACCATACGCTTTTCTGTAACCTCTTTATTCTTTGTCTGTCTTTCTGATTTGCATCAAGTAATCACCATCACCTCAAGAGCACATGTGCACACACCTGTCCTGCTCCTAAAGTGCTGCTACTGAACTGACAAGGAGAGGAAACAGTTAAAGAGGGATCCGCAGTATTCATTGCCCACATGGATCAGGCTTCTCACCCTGCTAGGCAGTTTGAGGTGGACGTGGACCTGGGCTTCGCTCTCTTCTTCCTCTTCCTCCTGTGTTTCTTCCTGCTGGTGACGGTGGTGCGCTGTGCCCAGACTGTAGTGGATCCTTACGGCTCCATCTCCACCTCCACCTACCAGGAGGAGCAGATCACCTGAGAGAGAGGAGGGTGAAATCAGTCTGTGACAGGACTCTGCAGGAAATTAAAGATACACTTTTCTTTTTAATAGATATGAAGTCTACGTAGGCTTCAGGAGTCTGGCCTCTTCTGAACAATAAGGAGTTATTATTACACTCGCGGAAGTCACAAGACACGTATCAGGTTTTGTTTTGAGTGTTTCTGACTGAATGGACCTGTTGAGCATATTCCTCAAGGGACCCAACCCAGAGCTTCTTTATTAACTGTTAACAAAAAGGTTTCATTTAATCACAGAGCTCAGTTGTACACATCAAAGTTATTTACTTATTTATAGATTTCTTTATTTTTCCCCCTATAAAAGCTGTATGGTGCAAACTTATAAGTCTACATTCCTATGTAAAAATGACTAAAGTAATATACGTGTCTGTGACCGGGGGGCCCATTGTCTTATTATTTGTCTACCAGATAGATAGATAGATAGA